ATTACATGCCCTTCTGATTATACTTTCAAATCAATGACACCCCATTAATGATAATTTTGTCTCTACTAGTAGATAAAATAATAATTTGACTAAATATTTTGTAAAAATGCCTAAATTAACTTTTGTTATGTAAATGGACTAAAATGCCCACAATATTTTTTCCCATTATATATGCTCTAATCAACTGGTAAGCGTGATTTCTATCATTGTGTTATCTTGATAATTTTTTATTATTTTAAACCATTGTATGTTAACTTTTTTATAATATTAGTCATCATATTATCACTTATTTAGTTACATAATCGAGTTTTTATAATTTTTATAGTTAAAAATAATTTTTCTATAATAAAAATTGTAATCGATAAAATTAATGTCAAAATCCGATCAATTTCTAACTCATGTGTTAGCATATGTTCTCCACAAATATCACTTTACCACTCTTCACACATCATCATTCATGTATAAAATTTAAATATTATTTGATAAAATTGAATATTAATTCAATGTTGATTTCATAAAATTTAATGTTAATTTAATAAATTTAAATGTTGTTTTAATGAAATTGAATGTTCATTTAGCATTAAAATTAAATAACTCACATTACTTTGATAAGGTTAAATATTAAATTAATGAAATTTAATATATTAAATTTTAATTTAATAAAATTAAATGTCAATTTGATGTTAATTTAATGAAATTAAATAAAATATTAAATTGATGAATTTAAAAGTTAATATAATAGAACTCCGATTGGTATGATAAAAAAATAGAATGATGAAAAGTTGGAAAGATGGAAAGTTGGAAGGATAAAAAAAATATCATATTTGGTAAGGAAAGAAAATAGAAAGGATGAAAAGTGGATGAATTCACTTTCCTCATCAAAATCAAATTCTCCAAAATCGGAAGGAATGTAGATAAAAAATTATTTATTTGTGTTGGGATGTATTTTATTAGTATATATATTATATATATATATTAATTTCATATAAAAATACAATGATAAAATATATATATATATATATATATATATATATATATAAATAATTAAAATTTTAAATTAATTTTGTTTTTTCATTTTAACTAGGAGTGAAAATTTTCGACTCAACACGATGACACTACTCAAACTCGACACGAACTTGAAAATGACTTGACACGTGAACAAGAAATATAAAAGACTCATATTTTTATGACTCAACACGAATCTGACACGACACGACTCAATTGTCACCCCTAATCTTAGTCAGCACAAAAAAAATAGTCATTTTCATTTTCTATCCACCCAACAAAACACAAAAAAAGGAAAATATGTCGTTCTTACTTTTCAACCTTGAAAGATAGAAAGTGTATCCCTCCTACTTTTCATCATTCTTACCGAAACGGAGTATAAAAGAGAGTGCATTGAAATTTCATAATCGAGAGAAGTATTGTTAAAAATAGATCTATTTGCAAGAAGTGTCGTTGAAATTATATAGACAAAATTTACCCTAAAAAATATTTATGGATATTTTTATAAATTAATAATTGTCATTAATGTTGTAACCCGACAAATACTGAAGTTTTAGAATTGAGAGGATAAGTCATTGAATTTAAACTTAATTACAGGAGATATGGATAAAAAATTTTCATATATTTATTATGTTTTTACAAAATATATTTGTATAAAAAGAATTATTGAATGCAAAGCTGAGGGACCCCAGTTGAGAAATTCACGTGAGGGAGACCTGAGTGATGTTTGTTATAGTAGCTTGCAGAGAAAGTTAGGGAAAAGCACACGAGTTCTCTCAACATCATTAATTCTGGTTTTTAACGCCATGAATTTTGAAAAACAACTTCCCAAAAGCCTTTAAGAATGACGGTCGTTGGATCAATTTTTAATTGATGTGGTGCGATCTGAGCCATTGGTGGTTAGGGGATAGGAGAAAAAAAAAAAAAAAAGCAAGAAATAAAACAAGAAAACCGCCTCATAATGACAACAGAAGAAGCCCATACGAGGCGGTGTTCACGTGTGGACCTCATAATTAGTAGTCGGCAGGCAGATCTAAGCTTAATACACAAGCCATAGCTGCCATACTACTACTTACCATAAAAACAAGAACAAGTAATCATAATTGGTAATTATGCCCCCACAAAATGAAAAAAATTTGAACATTTGCCTATCACGACACCTGGATTTGCACATTCAACTTGATTGAGAATCCAAGTATCAATGCACGTGACATCTCTCCCTCGTAATATCATTATTACTGATCATGATTTGCCTCATACACACTCTAAGGTTTAAAAAAAAAAAAACTGTGTTGTACATAATAAAAATGAGGAGTTGTTCACTGTACTGAAAAAAAAAAGGGTTTCGCATGGATATTTATTATATTTATGGGTGTTTCTATTATTGTTTTGAATATTTTTATTACTGTAGTGAATATTTTTATCATTTTTTTTAGATATATTTGTTATCTGATAATAATACTTATAAATGTGATAAATTACTTATAAAAATGATAATTTTTTTGATACCGAAAAAGAAAGGTAAAATTAATTATCATAATAATGGTAAAACATCCACAAAAATGATAAATCACATACAAAAGTGATAAATTTTTTTATTGTAAGATGATCTACAAAAATTAAAAAATTACCCATTAAAATAATAAATTTTGTGAGTTTGGTAAATATTAGCATCTGTAAAAAAATTTTGATTTCTTATTTTATCTCTAATTATTATAATAAAATCAATTATATCCACTTATATATTTTCATCTAATTTTTTTTACATTTATTTGTCTTTTAACTTATTTTGGACTCTTTTATAAGAATTTTAAAATTTTTTAAACTCATTTATTAGTAATACAGTTACAATTTTTTTTTTTAACTTTTTTTTTTGTGCGGAGAGGAAAAAGGGGTTTGAATCTTGACTTTTAGAAGGAAAAGTCTTCACAAAGCAAGGGTATCATTGAACCAAAAGTCCGTTGATTAGTAATACAGTTGCATACAATTTTTTATATCTATATAAAAAAGTAAAGTCCTATATAATTAAATATTTATTATTAATTCTATAATATATAATTAAATGTGTAAATATCTAAAAATGTTGGAGAAATACTTAAACAAATGATAAATTAGACACTTAAAAATTTATAGAATAAGTTAACAATTAAAATATAAAATAATTATTTGACACTTAATTTATTTTTTATTTTAATTACATAATATAATTTATATTTTTGTATAAAATTACTAGTTATTACTTGTGCCTGAAGGTACAAAATAATAAAAAAATGATAAACAATAAACATATTTGTATTCATATTTAAAATTAAATTATAAATATAAAGAAGAAATAAATGAATTTAAACATCGGTTTATAGTAGTGGTGAGAGGTGGTTAGCGGTAGTTGTAGTGGTAGGAGACGGTGATGGTGATGGTTGTAGTGGGTGACAATAATCGCGGTGGCAGCGAGGGAGGCGATGATGGTGGTGGTGGCGACGGCAACGACGACAATGACGATGATGATAGTGGTGGTAGCAACAACGGTGGTGGTGGTGGCGACGACGACGATGATGATGGTGATAGTGGTGGTGACAACGACGGTGGTGGTGGTGATGGTGGGGGCGACGACGACGGTGGGGGCGGCGTGGTGGTGATTATAGTAGAGGTAATGGTGGGGCGGTTTCAAACACAATTTTTTTAAAATATTTAAAAAGTCACTTCAAACACACCTTTAAAGACCTATTTTTTTTATTATATTTAGGGTATTAATATTAGCCGTTATATTAACTTTAAAATAAAATTTAAAGTGATCTCAATTGCGAGTGGGAAGAATCATTTTGTTTATTTTTTGAAATTTGAATTATAAATTATTTTATTATATAGGTATTATTTAATTTTATTTACTTGTAATTTACGTCGTGGGTTGCTAATTAATTAAAAATAGCAAAAAATTCACCCTGTAAACTATATACAAGTCCTCCTCCACACTCGATTGAGATTTGAGTCCAACGCAAGCAAAGTACATTTGTCCATCCCACGTGGCATCCGAGCTGGACTCATTACCCACTAATTTGAAAGATCAAAAGACGCGTGTCAACAGGGTTAGTTGAAGTGGAGAGAGAATTAGATCAGCACGGGCAACTCGGACAGTCGTCCGGGCAGCAATAGTCACACCATGTGCGTACCCCCCTCACCCCGTTGCGTATTAGCTAGCGTGGTCTGGAAAATAATAAAATAATTTTATCAAGTAAAGCACCGAAAATTAAATAAAAATATTGGACTCGTTTGGTTGTCGTATTAGAAATGAATGGATTAAATAAAATAATTTGATTTAATACTATACAACAGGACAAAAGACAAGACTAAATAAGATATTAAAATAATACGTAATTTTATATAATGTTTTGTAATACACAACATAAACGTTGAATAATAGTTATTTAATTCAATCAGTTGTTTGGTTAAGAAATTATTTTATCGTATTAATATTGAATTAACAAAAATATTAAAAATCAGTGTTTGTTACATTGATAACAGTTTGATTTTATCAGTTGAGAATTATAATGATAAATGTATAAAATAATTCATTTGAGTTGAATTATAATACCACCTCTTTTAGTGGTATTAAAATATCTCTACAATACAGGTCTAATATATAAAATATATATATTTTTAAAATTAATACGATATCAAATTTATTTATCAAATAAAATATTATACCTAATTAAATAAAAAATATTACAATTCAATATTTAATCCCATAGTAATACCTATACCGACCCCATTAGGAATTATATATAAATAGGAGACCCATAGAGAGCAAGAGAGTGAGGGCAAGACCAAGGCGTGCTTTGCGCTGCAATAGTTTAGACAGAGAAAAATTCCAACGCTCCTAGAGAGAGAGAGAGAGAGAGAGAGGGAGTGGATATTGCGCGTTTTAGAGAGAGAGAGTACAGAAACAGAGAGATTTGTTCAAGGTTTGTTAATGGCGATTTAGACTATAAAAGAGGAATATCTGGCATAGGGACCTCTGTTGCGTTGCTTTGCTGGTGCTTTGTCCAAGTCGTCGTCGGTTTCTGAGAGAATTACAGGCTGTGATTCAGAGTTATATAGAGGTGATTTAGTAGTGGTTTGTTTGTTTGGTTTCGTCGTTGAAGAAAACTAAGAAAGGAAGAAGAAATTGAAGGGAGAAAGATGGAGTGGCCCCCGTATTTGGATGAATATGAAAAGCTTGTGATTCGAATGACAACCCCGAGGTCAGTTACTCTCTCTTTACGGCGGCCTTTCAACTTCTGCGTCTGAACTTTAATATTCTCTCTCTCTCTCTCTGCGGGAGTTTTTCAATTTTGCCATACTTGCTATGGTGATTTACTTCATTCTGTTCTCATTTTAGCCCGCAGTTTTCAGCAAGTTCTTTTTAAATTTGTATGGAATTGTTCGTCTCAAATCTAACTATGTTCGTCTTTCTCTCAATATTGCTAGCGATTTTGAAAAAAAAAACAAAATACAAATATGCAGGTAGAAATATTAATTTTTGAAATCAGCACTACCTTCCTTGTCTAATTTCCTATATGTTTCTTTCCAAAACCGTCTCGATTTGGTGTATATATGTATGATATTTTCCTAAATATGTTTTGGAAAGTTGTAATTATTCGTTTAATTTCAGTTTCTATATTTGAAACCCTAAGATATCAGTGTAGATTTTGTGTAGATTGTGAACTCAATTATTTAAATTTAAATTAAGTGCCGAGTTTTTTATTTTTTATTTTTATTTTTCAAGTTTTTATGACCTTTTCTTTCTTTCATCTCTGGTCTTCTTCATTCCAGAATTTCACACACCTCACACTTACTTTTCGATGGCCTTTGGAAACATTCCCTTCCTTTCCTCTATTACCAACAATTTTAAAATTCTCCATTCAAATTATGGGAAATTTCTAAAGGCCTCTCTCTCTGACTTGTCTTCATCGCTGCTTTTGTTTACCAGAGTCATGATCGACAATGCTGCTTGCGCCAACTCAACTCGTGTCTCGGTGAGCTTCTCAGAATTTCTTAAAAAGCACCACTGGTCATTGTTCAAACTTGGTCATTGTTCACACTTGTCCAACGCAAATAATTTTTTTTTTTGACGACTTTGGCCCTGATTAGTAACTTTTTTAACAGGTTGATAGTGCGAGAAAACATGGAATTCTACTAGAGGCAGTCCAAGTTCTTACAGATCTGAATCTTTCAATTAAGAAGGCTTATATTTGCTCCGATGGAAGGTGGTTCATGGACGGTAAGTACAATTTAGCATTGTTCCTCTGTTCTTGCTATCGTGAGCCACTTCTAGCGAACGTTAACTAGTATATTAGCATTTAATAAACTTTAGTATTTCGTGAAACTTATATTGATTGCGGCCTTTTTATTTTTCGTTAATGTACAGTTTTTCATGTGACTGATTTAAATGGCAACAAATTAACGGACGAGAGTGTCATCAACTGCATTGAACAGGTAATTAAGTTATTCGACTCAAATTTTAATTGAATTAAAAGGGTACTGCTGTAAATTAATGACTTGGACTGAACTTTATGAGCTGTTTTGTGTGTTACAGTCATTGGGTTCAATTCATTATACGAGATCGAAATGCTTTGATGGCTTGACAGCGTTGGAATTAACTGGGACTGACAGAGTCGGCCTGTTATCTGAAGTTTTTGCGGTGCTAGCTGATCTGCAATGCAATGTGGTTGAGTCTAAGATGTGGACGCACAATGGCCGAATTGCTTCCCTCATTTACCTTAAAGATAATGATTCGGGATTCCCAATAGAGGATTCTCAGAAAATCGAAAGAATTGAAGCACGGCTAAGGAATGTGCTTAAGGGTGACAATGATATTCGAAGTGCCAAGACTACAGTATCTATGGATGTAACACATACGGAAAGAAGACTTCATCAAATGATGTTTGCAGATCGTGATTATGAAAGGAAGCCAATAATTAGGACTAGTGGTGATTCCCCAATGGTGACGGTTCAGGATAGTTTGGAGAGGGGTTATTCGGTTGTAAATGTTCAGTGCAAAGATCGAATGAAGCTTCTGTTTGATATTGTGTGCACATTGACAGATATGGAATATGTTGTGTTTCATGCCACTATCAACACAGCAGGGGACAGAGCATACTTGGTATATATTTGCAAAACCCTTATCTAGTTAATTTTCATTGTATAAAATTTGTTAACTGTGACAATATAGTAATAACTTTTGTTAATATGGTTCAGGAGTTCTTCATTAGGCACACAGATGGAACCCCAATTAGTTCAGAGGCCGAAAAGCAACGAGTGATTTTATGCCTACAAGCCGCCATTGAAAGAAGAGCATCCGAGGTATTAGTCTTTTGCCTTTTCTCTGTTTGAAAAGAATATGGAGTTATGCAATGATCATTCTAAGATTAACTTGTTTGTTACGTGATTACAGGGTGTAAGGTTAGAGCTATGCACATCCGATCGACAAGGACTACTAGCAGATGTGACACGAACCTTCCGAGAAAATGGTCTTAATGTGACAAGGGCTGAGATCTCCACGACAGGAGGTACGGCTCTAAATGTATTCTACGTTACAGATGCAATTGGGAATCCAGCCGATCCAAAACTCATCGAAGCGGTCCGAGAGAGAATTGGATTGAGTAACTTAAAAGTGAAGGAGCTGCCGTTGATAAATCATCAAAAGGCAGAAAGGGAAGAACCCGCAGTGGGTGTTGGTGGGGCCGTGTTGCTGTCACTTGGAAGCCTAGTGAGAAGGAATCTACACAATTTGGGATTGATCAGATCATGATTCCCATTCCTGAATGAACAACACAATCACAAAAAGGGAGTTTGTCAGGGGGATTTGTCCACCCCTTGTTGACATTTGGCATATACTTTGCTTCAGAGTTGGGCATATGTACATAGGAGAGAGAATTAAAGGGTGGGATTTGGTGATAGTAGTTGTTACAGTTGGGGTTTGATTGGTTGAATAGTTAGACACACACACACAGTAGGTGGAAGAAATGGGGGCCACTCCCACCATTTCAAATTGTTTGTATTAAGAAGAATTTGAATTTAGAAGAGGGAGACAGACAAAGTAAAAAGTGTTGGTGGAAGGGGTTGTGGTTGTAAATTGCCTGTTGCTGGCTGTCTGGCAGAGAGAGAAGAAGATTAGGTAGCAGAAAAGGAAGTTGGTTTCACACAGCACACATTTGTATCTTGTACATATCTACTACTTTAAGTATTAGTTCTAATGTTTGAATTCTCTTTCTCTCTCTCTCTCTCTCTCTCTCTCTCGTTCATCTTGTTTCTCCCGCGGGTCCTGTTTAGTTAAGAGGAAGAATCTATAGTATCATGATTAATTTATGGAGACAAAGAAGAGGTCCAGCAGACAGATTAAACTAACCCCCTGTTGATATGACGCTGGTTCTATTTTCCTATGCTTGTTAATGGGTTCTCTTGAGTTCCAAGTTATTCAGAGAGAATTACTTGACTCCTCGGTAAACTATAAGTTACACGGAAAGTAACTTCAATCTAACCATAGGTTACCTTATAAAAATTAGTCAAGATTCAGTATTATTTTTTTGTGCCGATTGTTTTTGCTATATGTTCAATGAGAGAAATAAATTGGTTACATGACTGATGAGAGCTCATCTAGAATTATGCCTAGAATGGGTAGTTTATTAACCATTTGAACAAACCTATGGTCATAAAGTTGATTAAAATATTCGAATAGATTTCTTGACCCGTTGAGGCCTAAATTTCAAGCCTAGCCTTAGAAGGTGTATTATTGAACTAGGCATTTAATGGTGCTGCCTACCTATCATCTTCTAGCTTGGCAGAGGGTCTTTCACAACCAAAGTCCACCAATGGTAGTTTCCAAAAGTTAACTTGGTACAACCGTTTCACCAAACGTTTTTTTTCCAATATTGACCAAGAAACAAAATTAATCCTCCTTAGAATTGGTCGCAACTTCTTTCTAAGTTTGACCTTCCAGAATCAAATGCCAAAACCTCCAAATCAACAAGTTTTTTCGTTTGGATTTAAATCGTCTATAAATTCAATTAGGATCCATCATGTATAAGTGGGTCTTATTCATATAAGGTATGTGATTTATTATTAAAGAATTATATTTTACGAGATTCAGATATTTTTCCACCTATTTCAGCATTATAATTGGAATATCAACTTTCTTCCAAGTGGACTATGCCCGTTCATTATCTATGGTTCCAGTCAGGTCATTTAAATTCAAGCTATGTTTGGTAGGTAGTGAAGTTTCTGGTGCTAGCTATTGTGTGGTTTGTGAGAATTTTGAATGCCGCCTTGTGTTTAAATTTGGCCAGTTGTTCCTTATAACAATTGCCTTTTAGCTTAAACATCTACAACTAGCATTTGGATCTAAGCTAGAACCTCAAACTTGCTAGGCTTCATACTAGCTTAAGCATGTAAGTGAAGGTATGGATTATTTGATAGTGTACGGGAATCCTACAATATGTTGAGATAGCAATCTGTTGGATGGTGAATCTGAAATAATCAAAAGATTAGGAAAGAGGTTGGGTGAACACTCGGCTAATCCCCTCCAAAACTCAAGTCAGTCAGTATGGGAGTCATGAACACAGTGTATTTTCTGAATTTATATTACATACATTCTTCGATATTTAATAAGTATTTATACTTGAGTTAGTAATAATTACATGATTTATCAGTCTTATCTTAACATTTAAGGACTTGCATTCGTATCTAAGCACAATGTGTGTCATCCCATCAAATATGCTCAAGACATCCTTCGGACGATTGGAGCCTTGCTCGGGCAACCCCGTGCATTCATGGCCGAATTTTTGATCATTAATTATCTCTGTTCGGTGCTTGACATCTACGCCCAAGCTTTCACTGTGCCCTTTGCACTCCTTAACGATTATGATGGTCTATGTGTCAATTTACGACTATTGAGCCACCTAAAATTCCGTCAGATAATTTCATATTTTATTAGAAATTACTTAGACCAAGTCCAATAGAGTTGAAATTAAAATGGTGAGAGAGAGAGGACAGAGGAGGGACGGCTAGTTGTCTTTTCTTAGTTTTTATGCATACCCAAGAGAAAACAACAAGACTCCCGACATTTAATGGATTCCTAAAGCCAACTAGTTTCTGCTTCTCCTCACCGCTTTGGATTTGCCTCCTACCACCATTTTTAATATTCCATCAAAGAGAGCTCTCTCACACACAAGTTTTATAGTTCTTTAATAATATAATGTTGTAACTAACATCAATATCATTGGAGGGTCCATAACAATTTCCTCAAAAAGAAAAAAAAACAATAATACATCTAATGATATAGTCTAAATGAAAAAAATCTAATAGTTGTAATTACAGTAATATTATTGAACTATGTAAATTGTCATATCATTTAGTTCAAATTTTAGATCTCAACAGTATTATTCTTCTATCAATCGTGAACCACCGATCATAAATTCAAGTACCGTCTTTTATTTTCACTTGGACTCCATATTCATACTCGATATACGATACCATTTAATATTAAAATATATTTGAGTAGTAGTATAATATAGTGATGCCAATCTTGCATGAACTAAGTTCAAGCATGGACCGCATAGGTTGAAAACCTGACCAACATGCCGGCAAGTGCGCCTGATAAGCAGGGTTACTCTCGTGGCTCTGCTTTTCATAGAGTTATTTGTGTTTTATATGAGGGGTTGGTGATTTTTACAACTTCAAAAGCACATCAGTCCTAACCCTTTTGAAGGCTGTATCTATTTGGTCTTGGTTCAGTTTATCCAGTTTATCGAGAAAGACTCATTGGTAGTTTATAAAAAGCAAACAGTGTAATTCTGTTTATAAAAAAAAAAAAAGGAAACGGTCTCAATTTTGTGTTATATTTTTTTGTTCAACGGTAAGGAGTATTTGAATTAATTTATGTGCAATTCGACTAATTTTTTTTTCGATCTGGTCGAAGGTAGATCATCTACGTTAGAACTAATGCATTCAAAAAAAAAAAAATCTCTTAACTTGGTCCCAGAGGCTGCTAAATTTTGATTTTAGACGTCTGAGTTTATAATTAATCTATGTTACCACTTGAATTACCTTATAGAATTTTCAACTTGTGTCGTTAATAAAGTGGAAAATAACACAATCCTAACATAGAAAAGTTGTTCAAAAGTTATACGACAATGCTAGAGGCCTTGAGTCGAATTTCCTTTCATGATTATTTCTAAGGATTTATCTTTGTAATTATCTGAATGGGTGTGGGATGAGAAGACTGTATATGCTCCAAATACCTAATATTACTCCTGAGACCTTAGTTTCGACCTTGATGTAGGTGTTATAATTTTTTTTTATATAATTGTGTAATTCTAAAAGAGAATACTTTCTAATGAATATTTAGAGTGACATATCTGCACATCTATTTCATGTAACAAAAAAAAAGTCATACAGTATTCAGCATGCATAGGTAGCTAGGAACCTATTTGTGCATGCAGTTTGCACCTCTTCTGTCTGAAACTTCCCCAGGTAGTCTCCTTATATTAGTGATATATCTAAGTCGAATCAGTCAGTGCTGTCTTGCAATGAGTAAGTGCCCAGCTCAGCTCTACCTACGAATCTTACCTTAGTTGTGGTCTTACAACTTTGATCCTTCATGGGTGAAGTTTTTTATATTTTATTGCTTTGCTTTGTTGGAACACCTGATCTAGCCAAAGAGGCTTTCTAATTGTAGAGAGTCATTTAGCTCAAAAATAGAATAGCTAGCTCATTAGAGTAAAGTTTTATGGTTTAACTCTTTATTTTAACTAACAAATATAAAAGGAAAATAGGTAGTCCTCGGGGAATATGCTTTAAGATTTGCTAGGGTGCGGAGTACTGACCCCATACTGTGCTATGATTGGCATGCACCCACTATAAACCAGCGTTGAAGGGGTGGAATGGTGCAAAAGATTCAAAATTCAGCATCTTTATCCCAACATTGCATGTGGATTTCCACAAGTCAACTTGTGATCACTCTACCTTTCAACCTTGTAATTTCAATAAAAAAAAACTAGATAGCATCTTTGATGTTCTTCAGCACGAAAAACGCCATGTTACCCTTTATTCTTCACTCTTCTAACATGATCCTTAGTCACCCTAGCTAGAACTTCACTGTATTCCAGAGGGAGAGTAGAGAGGTAGACATACACTAGCAAGGTTGGTTTTGTATTCATGAACCTCTAAGGCCTCGGCCCTCCAGGCATTTCTCATACATAGCCGTAATAGGGTTGAAGCCTTGTGCCTTATGTTAGACTAAGAATGCTAGTATGCTAGAGGCAAATTGTGGTGTTTCAGAGACGCACTTGTCACTTTTGCAGCCAAGGGTGATCAAATCATGACTATATTCACAACTGAGCGGATGGTAGATATATATATATATATTTATATATATCTACATATCTTATCATTTGATCATGATTAATGATCAGATTGTATTCATGATGGTAGGATTTGTATGTAGATTGTTAAGGGGTGGTTTAATGGTTATATTTGAATTTGCATGTTGTGACAAATATTTTTGAATATTTAAATCCCATTATTTTAAATAGAAATATCTTTTTCTTTTTCTAAACAACCATAGTGGTTATTCAGAACACCTGTGATTATCTTCAGCTCAAAAAACACTATGTGATTATTTATTTTTCACTCTTTTGGATTGATTTTTAGTAACCTTTAAACTAAGCTGATTTGAACACTCACGACTGTTGAATCGAAAAAAAAAGCAACTATTGAACTTGAGTGGAGTCAATAGGAATGGTAGAGGTAGACAAAAATTATATTCCATTATGAAGATGGTTTATGTTCATGAACCTTTAGGACTAAGGCATTTCTCATGCAAAGTAGTAATAATAGGCTTTAAAGCTTATGCTTGCTGCCACTAGCACTCACTTTTAAACATTTGTTCAAAGGAAGCACTAAAGCTAAGCTTAAAGACCTTCATATATATATATATATATATATATATATATGTGTGTGTGTGTGTTAAGTTCACACCCCAAAGATTAGGCCCCAATAATGTGCTTCAAACCTGATTCTCACAATTTGTTCCAACAAGTAAAGGAGAATATGAAACTGTATAACAATGATCTTCACGTTTGCGAAATAAGTATCATTTATTCTGTCAGATCTATCGACTTAGACTTTTAATATTCATTAGGCATTTCCATAGTTTGATCATTCTTTTTGATTGAGAACTTTG